ATGATAGAGTGCGTCAGATAATGGAAGTCGAAAATGACATCGTGTTCGACGTCATGACCAAACAACTTGTTTGGTATGGTCATGTCAATAGGATGACGGAAGAGAGGCTGCCAAAAAAGATGCTAGACGTAGGGGACGCCCAGTGAGAGGTTGGCGACAAGGGGTGTTAAATGAGATAAGAGATTGTCAACTCCCTGATGACCTGTGGGAAGACCGAGCTTTGTGGCGATTAGGCGTCGCACAGCGCCAAAGAGCGCTATAAAAGCGACTCATATATATATATATGTTCCACTTTTGCCTGAGTAACTTGCGTATTTTCGTGTCTCCATACGATACATAAGGAAATGACCTTGAGCACTGTGTATGTATTGCCAAAATGTGATTTTGGCTTGGTGCAACTAAGTACGACCTTGGCAATAAGTATGGAAAATGCAAGAATATTATTGTCGAGAGGCACACAGATCTTTGAATGGTATAAACTTTACAAAAATACAAGACAGAAAAGAAACTTTGAGTTCCTTGTGAAATATTTGAAGACTTGAGGCTACAAATACTGCAATGGTGCAATGATGATTATAGGTATTTTTTTTTTTTAAGTTTTGACAACTGTCTGTTGCTATATATACATAAATTAGTATCAACTTTTGTCAGTTTTATGAATTCTTATCAATGTCCTTCCTTTTATATTTGCCTGATACCACCTGAAACGGCTAGCCGAACAGGGGTCACGCCTTAGTCAAAAGAAAAAGAGGAAGAAGCAATGGACCAACTACATTTTGCAACTTGCTAGAGACAGGTTTAAATTCACTAGATAGCTCACAATACATACTTTTATTTTCCTAACATCAAGAACAGCATAAGCGTGGGTGGATACAAGTCCCGTCCTTTCTTCCTCTGCAGGTGATAGCTCTCCTGTGGCAACAGTGACAAGCACATCTCCTTTGTGTAACCGAGTGAGGAGGGTGTTAAAGAGAGCATCAGCATTAAAGTCTTGCTCGTTAGGACGAATTGCAGCTCTTTCAGGGATCCAGCCTGTCAGGGCGTGCAAATCTATGTTCTGCAAAATATGAACGCCTAATTAAAGAAACTAAATATTTTAAAGACAATAAAGAGAAGCAGGATTTTTTCCTTCAAGGAAACTGTGAAAATATCTAAAATTTCAAACTTGGTGGTTTTTCAAAAACCTTCATTCCCTAACTTTTGTTTTGTTGCATGACAATTTTGCAAACTTGCACCCAAAAGATGTAGATGAAAATCTATGATATTGCAATATTTTGCACAAAAAGAGCCAAAAATGAAGTTCTTATTTTTTATTTTTTGGGTGTCAAACTTCCGAAAGAGTGTAAGTACCAAAACAAAACAAAAAACTGTGGATCATATTCGATAGTGATTTGATGTATCATTTGGTTCAAAATAATAGAACATAACCTCAAACCAAAATTGTGGAATATTTGTCAGAAAAGCTGAAAATGAGAAATTTCGAAGCAATTGTATTACTCTTGGCCAATAAGTACTCATACAAATCAAAAATCTATCACAAAAATCCCGTTCCGTCAGATTACTCAATTGACGTTTGAGGCTATGTTTATGTTTTGAACCAATCGATATCGATACAATCTCACCCACTTGATGTATAGAATACAATCTGTTTTAAATCTTTTTTGTGCCCACAACTGAAAAATAAAACAAGACAATGATTGTTCAAGGTTTGTCTGAGCAAGAAGTGGTAGGCAAATGTTATGATGAGTAAAAATAATTCAGACAAGAAGAAAGACAAATAGTGATGTTTTGGCATAAAAAGTACAAGCCTGAGCAGATTGATATTTCTACTTACACTATTTGAACCTGGAAAATCATATCCACCCATGACTTTCATATACGCTTTCTCTAATAAAGAAATCCAAAGCTCATCACGTTTTGTGGAGTAGGAGCATAGCATTTCATGGTGTCTGCCAACAGGTAACATATCATCAATGATGACTTTTCGTGGAATGCCATTAATGTGAAGCTTCACCATGTATTTGCCTATTGATGAAAAAGAAAATGCATTAAATTAAATGCTGAGATAAGCCTGATAGTGAGGGGAAAAGAATACAGCGCTGTGAAATGTGATTATTCTTCCAGTTTTGACTCGCAAACTTTTGAAGGACTAGAAAAAAATTGAATCAAGGAAATTATGCAATTTACTGATACACTGAAATGTAGTGCATAATGACTAAACTTGGAGAATTACAAATCTCCCTGTTTGCCGAGTATGTGTCTTGCGCAATTTTTCATTGTTTCCAGCGCTACTTTTGAAAGGATATTTTTAAAATGACAAATATTTCATGAAGATTTAATATGTGCAGAAAATGTTTCACAGAAAATTTTCAGATGTTTTAAAACTCAAACTATTACAAAATATTAACATTATACAATTTATTTCAAATTCAACGACTAAAATACTCACCGAAAGGATTATACATGGGCTCTTTGTTTCGGTTCCTTGGATAAATGATGGAAGTGATCAACCGTCTGCCAAACTTAGTTTCATACAAAGCACTGACAGCAAGTGAAGCTACAAAAGAACAGTCAGACACAACCTAGAGAAAAAAAAGGCATTGAGAACATAAATGATTTTTGTGTAAACTTTTAATAAAATATAAACCATATGGACTATTTCAATACATATTTTAAGGTCCAATGAAGTAAGCAACTACCTTAATTAACAATTGTGTGAAAGAAAATATCTTTTACAGGCCATTCTGAGGCTTAGTTGGATTATTTTCTTTGAAAAAAATTGACGTAAAAATAACTTTTGTAAATAACAGACTCCTGCTAATAGTAATTTGTGAAGGATATGCGAAACAGTTTCGCAACACCATCAACTTCACATCCTGTTTGACGGTGAGAATTTGCCAATTCAAGCCAGTATGGTCATAGGAGAGAAAGACTGGGTGCTTATTTCATTCCATAGCTGCTATATAAATATTCTTGCTACATTTGAAAGAACGAAGAACACTCTAAGGCACTTGGCACAATAAACCGTCTCCTTCAAATACAATATACTCAGAAAAAAACATCACTTAGTTCATCTCAGTTTCCTTCGAATGTGCTAATTGACTGATGAGATATTTTCACTTACGGTTTGCTTGATACTAAAGCAGTCCACTTGCGAACCGCTTACCATCTTGGGATCAGAACAGAACTCATTAGGTCGAGCCCAGCGATCAAAATCTCTTTTCTGTTTTGGTGACAATTCAAGTAAACCATCTTTGTCTGTGAATGGAATGGCGTACTGAAATCTAAGAGAAAGTCAAGCATAGTTGTTAGAGCAGCGTGCGTTTAACAGGTTGAAGAAATTATCAACGCTACTTTCAAAAAATCAAAATTGATAAAATGTTTTCCCGGTGGTAAATCCAAAATATTGAACACAGCAGTTCAAAAATCCCTAGACTTTACAAAATGATGCCTTCATTTTAAAAATACTGAGTTTAATAGAAACGCCTAAGTTGCATTTTGGAGACAAATTACCTGATTAAGAGTTGTTTTGAATGTAACTAGTGGTAAATAAACTCAAACATTCAAAGTCCAAAAAGAATATTTCAAAAAAGTGAATTGTCGTTTAACTCTGTTCATCACACTGAGTCTTGTGGAGGGTGTCCAAGCTGAGGATGGAAACTTTGCAAACTGTTAGCTGTGAAAAAATCCAGTGTTCTTTGTGGCACACATAAAATCCTCATAAAGAATGAGACAGACTAAAAAATGAACTTTCCTAGTAATTTGTAACTTTTGTATTTTTGAGACAGAGAGAGTGCATTTAGTGCATATAATGACGATTTTAATTTTTATGAGCAATATTAGCCCATGAAAAATCAGTTCAAAGCTGGTCATTTTTAACTCCAGTTTAAATGCATGTTGCCCAGAGAACTAGGATGCCAATTAATAACATCCCTCCTACGGCAGGCACACTTTCAACAGCACAAGCCTTTTGCTGCAATTGACCGTCTAAGCAACCCTGCACTGATATCGGATGCGTGTGAAGTAAGTGCACTACTTTTCAAAAATCCAAGGATTGAAAAATTACTGAGCAAGCTTATTGCATTTAAAAAAAAAAAAAATGAACAAACCTTTCACCGAGGTCAGCTTTCATGAAAGGCACAAACTCATTTCGATTGATAAAAGATGTGGCCAGAAGTACCTTTTTCTCTTCCTCTGTGTAAGCGTCAGAACCTACAACTTTCAGATGACCACTACTGCCTCGGTGGAGTTCTGGTTTATTATTCACAACTGAAAACAATGCAAAGTAAAGATTAAATAAAGGGAAAGTGCACGTAGAGATTTTGAAGGGTGTTAAAATTTGATTAAAAGTATTCTAAAAATTTTTTGGAAAATCAATTTGGTTGCTTTCATGAAAACTCCGTCCGAGCAACCTTATTGCACCTAACATTATTACATTAAAATGAAGAAAAAACTATGGTAGACATTAACATAGAGAAGCAACACGTGGAGCTTACTCTGAAAACAACCTGCTTCATCAATACATTAAGTAAAGCGATACCTCCATTAATATCTACTTGGAAAAACTAGGCTTCTGGAAGCATCTTAACTTGTTTTACCAATCTGTAAAAGTCCCCATATCAACGGTGTAAGTCGGCAATCACATGTCTTGTTAGCAGTGTCTGAAAATCTCCGACTCCGATGTTATTTTTTCAAAGGAAAACAAACTGACATCATTCCTTGAAGTTTTTGAAGAATTTTCTTCGTACAGAGAGGAAAAATCACAGTAGTTCTAAAGAATTGCTGTTGAGTCGTATCCCGTTTAAAAAATTAAGTATGATAGCAAGTCTGCGACGTTGCAAACCGAGTGATGTGATTGCTGACTTACACCGCCAATATCTTGCTTCCAACAGGTTGCATCTTATTTATCGCCAAAACATGGCATTTGAATAAATATTTACTTCACTATTCCATGGCTACAAGTCATCAAAAGACTGTACTCTGACTACCACAACTAACCCATCGACCTCAAATGCATGATCAAATTTAAGTTGAGAACCTTTTGGAGGCTGAGAAGAACTGGTGGTGGCGTTAGGTGTCTCCTTGACAACAGGTAGATTTGAAATGCCTTTGAGCTCCTCTGCTCTCTCCAGAGCTTGCCGTGCTAAAGAAGTAAGCTTGTTGATAGTATCTTGATCTAAGATTCCTTTTTTCTGAAAAAGTTGCATAGGTTGGATTATTTATGACACTGCAAGAAAAAATTAAGTGAAAGTTTTCGGCTAGCAGTTGCACCATTGATGGGTCACCAGCCAAAAATGCGTGGGCAATTGAAAGTTAAATTATCCTCACAAGTGAATTTTAGCCTTTTTTGTAATGTTTAAACTCAATACTTGATTGTTAAGATTTATGTTTGATAAGGCCATTTTAAATGAAATTGGAAGGATTTTGACCAAGGCCTCAGGAGAGATAAGGTAGTTAATAACCATGGTACATACCAAAATTAGCTAAGTCCTTTCCCTGATGATGTGCAACAGCACAAAAGCTTTGGACTTACTGTTAGTTAATTTTGGTAAGTACCATACTTATTAGCTACCTTATTTCTTCTAAGGCCTTCGTCAAAATCCTTTCACTTTCAATACTTGAGCGGAAAATCGCTCCGAAAAATATTTGAACATAAAGTAACTTTTTCCTGACTCATCAGCATTTTTAACATTTTATTTCCATTCTGAACATCCCAACTACTTTGTTCTTTATGTTTCATTTAATTGGACAAGCAGTTTTTTTTTATCATATACAAATAAAGAGTTTGAATATAGTCCTGCATTCAATGATCGCGGGTAGAGTGGGATTCTGTTTTGAGACACATTTTGTTGCTCTGCCATCAAGACATCTTAACTTTATTTATAAAAATTAAAAGTCATAGTTCAAAATAAAATCAGCGATGTTTCACTGTTCATGTTCAGAGGATAGAATCATCATTTACTCACACCAAAATTCTAGATATCATTGAAAATATATATACAAAAAAATCTTCTCTTGCTCCGGATTGATACTTGTTTCCTTTGCTGTCATTTGGACACATTAATTTTACATACATTCACTTAAGTAAAGGGTACTTTTTTCTTCCTTACTTAAAAATGAAATTTTCATCTTTTTTCTAAATAAATTCAGTGGTATACGTCAATTCTTACAGCTGATAAACCAAGCTCGACTGCCTGCGTATAAAGGCTAACAGCGACGTCTTTCGCACCAGCCTCATCTGCATCCAATGCTTGGCTGATAAGAAAATGACAACGTTCCACGTCCAGAGATCCTTTATTGCGGTTGGGACGGAGATTGCCTTTTTCATTTAAATCTGAAATGAAAGAAACGTGGTGATGTAACTATAGGTATTCATCTGATGAAAGTCATTTGATTCGTTGAAGCAAACCTATTTTGATGTTATAAGAATCAAAATGAGCATTTATGGATGAGTCAGGCTGAAACTAGCTCAATATACTATCAACCTCCCTTGAAGACTTAATGTCTTTAACATTTTTCTTCTGTTGCATTGAATGAATCCTATGGTTTAAAGGGTAGTAGATTGGTGTGCTGGGTAAACACCCCAGAAATCAAATTAAGATTTTGCGAGCTGTCCTTAAGATAAGTACATTTCTTGAAGGTAGAAACAATGTATTTGTTCAGCTTTCGTTTTATGGAATGTTCTATCTCAAAACTAGAAAGTTCAAAAATTGTTGAACTTTCTGGCCTAGCTTTTCCCGCAAAATAGTGTGAACCCAGCACTGTTTTACCACCTTGTTAAAAGTAGTTTGGGCCACACATTACAGTGTTTTTTTTCTGATAATAGTTATATTTATTTTTATTGTAAAAACTTATCAGATTTGAAAAAATAGTAGGTAAATTATCTTAGAATGAAACAGAATTAAAAAGGAAAAAAATCGTTTGCACTCCTTTCTCATGAACAGCGGTCAGCAAAATCGGTATCTGAAGGGAGCAAAGGTTGCTCATGAAAATCTAAGGCAAGGAAAAGAAAATTACTTTTTAAACGAAGACTTTCAGCTCTCTCAGCATACTCCAGTGCCTTCACTTTCCATCCAGCAGCTGCCTCATTTCCAGCATTTTCTTGACTTGCAAGCATCAACAGCCGAGCTGCTTCCCGATAATAATAGCACGCACCTTCCGTGTTTCCTAAGCGATCACATTCCACAGCCTTTGTAGAGGCAGCAACAGCATTTTCGATTAAGCTCATTTTTAGATTGGAGCTCTTACTTGGCTTCGTGGATCACAGCTTAGACTTGCAAAAGAAGATTTACATGCTGTCAAATTCGCACTATGAATATTTTAAGCGCTGAAGTTTTAGAATCTATAAATATCGGACGGAAGTCTCTACAGCCAGTGCTTACTTAATGAGGCTTGGGCTTGTGACCATCAACGTAAAAGTTTCGAGTAACAGATGGTAATTGGAGTTCTATCCCTTCCAAGTCCTTGGTAAGGATGATTTGACAACCTAACCTTGAATTTTCTTTCAAAAAAGGAGCTAAATCAAGTAAATCCTCTTCTTTTTCGGTTGCCTCCGGTAGCTTAGCCAGATAGTCTCCAATCACATAGCAATGACAGGTAGTGCAAGCTAGAGATGCTTCGCAGGCACCTTCCATTTCAACGCCATAGCGATGTGCTAGATAGAGGACGTTGTCACCAACTTTGCCCCGAACTTTAACTCTGTTACCATCCTTGGTAATATATGTAATGTTCACAACGTCTTCTTCGGATTTAGGGTCTTCATATTCATATTCTCCATGGAGTGAAATAGCAGAGGTTTGGAGAGAACGATTTAGAAGGAGAGGAGTGATATTTTGAAGTGAAACTTTGCTTCTGTTCGTTTGTAAACATAACCTTAAATTGCACAATTGACTCAAAAAGAGGCGGTTGAACATAATCTTGAAACATGGGCGGATTAAGACTCTAAAAATCGAAAGATAAAAGCACAAGAATGATTGAAACAATACTTAATGGACAATCACTGAGGAATCCAATACTTTATCACCATAACGAGAACTTCACCATGAGGGTGGAGGTAGACGAAAACAGTTACAGTATTGATAAGAAATCGATGTCAAATCGATGGATCGATTTATTTACAGCTGATAGTCGGATCGAATCCAATACAATCGTCCCAATCGGTTCCTATCGTATCGAACTAGTCGATATCAACACGAACTTCGATTGCGACGTTGTCGGTCCTCGCTCATATTTTATTTATTTAAATATTTACTTTTTAAAGAACTTTAACTTTTCCTAAAAACTAACACTTCCGCAAGTTGACTACTAATTTTCTCCAGCCATGCGTGACTCCTGAATAATTATTATTAATAATTAAGTGTTAGTTTTAATTTTTTAAAAATAATACGTGAGCAAAAATTTGAAAAGCGGACATTCTTATCCCTGGTATTTTTTAGCATATAAATTTGTTCTACTTCTAATTTTTTGGCCTAAATCCGAGGAAAATTTGTTTTTCTAAAACATGACATTAAAAAATTGCCTAATATCCTAATAAAATATAAATAAAAAAAAAATTAAAAAAAAGGAAAAAAAAAGATGAAAAAAAGAAAAAACGTAGGTATCCTTTGAATAGTGCCGAACTCACGCAACCGTCACGCGTTCCTACACCATGTTCCTAGTTTGCGATGATACAACTCAAAGCGTAAAACGTTCCTCAAGAACTTACACATCATTAAATATTTAAATATGTTCCTCCGTTGTAAAACAATAAATAGAGGATAAAAATTCCACATTATAATTCGTTCACAAGCGCAGGGCCGGATTTGCCTTTGCCGCCCCTTCTCATTCGTTTTGAAACAGCCATACAAACCATCAAGTGAACGTAGGGATGTCGATACTCAGGGAAGTATCGATACTCGGTATCGATACTGGTATCGACTCTAAGCATCGATACCGGTATCGAGCATCGAGCTGAAGTATCGATACTTATGAGGTATCGATACTATTTCTGAATTATGCCGTGTCTGAGTGTGCGTATGTCTGTCGGCCGTTAAATTCCGCCAGATTTATGCCTCTCTCGAAAAAGCCCTGTTCGCGTCCTTAGTCAGCTATTTTGAGCCTTTAACTACACTTATCGAACTGAGCTTTTAACATTTTTATTGAAGTATAATCATTTTGAGAAACTTGATTACTCCGTCGTTTGTCACAGTGCATCTTGAAGGTGAAATAGTGGGGAGAGAATTTTTTAAAAAAGAAAAAGAGGCCTTCTTCATGGCCAAATCAGATTAAGTATCGATACCGTCGATACTGGGGTCTTGGCATCGATACTGCATGGTATCGATATCGTGGAGTATCGATGCCGAGTATCGTTAAGTATCGATCGAAAGTATCGATACTTTGCAAGTATCGGATAAGTATCGACATCCCTAAGTGAACGTGCCGGAGGAGGAGGGGTACATGAGACGCGTTTACTCGCATTGGGCACATTTTTTGTGAAAGCCCTGTAAACACAAGCAAAATTTCACGGAACTTTGCGCAAAAATTAAATTCCGTAGACCTATCTCTATGTGGACGATACATTTCATTAACGAAAAAATTATGAATAAGAATAAACACGAATGTGATCTAATGATCTTAATTTCCGCCACCGCGCCAACCGCACTGTGTTTGGCGCAATGCGTAAAGTAGTGGCACAGTCTTGTAGGCGCTGTGCGTTTCACGCTGACCGCTGTTGACCGAGTGACCGCACTGTTTTTGACGCAATGCGTGAAGTATTCATGCAGTCTTGTAAGCACTATGAGTTTCACGCCAACCGCTGCTGCTCGCACTACGTTTGATGCAATGCGTAAAGTATTCATGGAGTCTTGTAGGCGCTAATATGTGCGCCAAATACTGCTGACCGGTGCGCCGATAGGGCTTCTCCTTTCCATCTCAAGTTCTCGTCATCATTGCTCTCTGCGCCGCGCCACTCCAAGCCAAATTGCGTGTTTGGTTTCTTTCTCAGTTAGACAAATGAAAGGCGCTGTCTCTTGTATCACCGAAAGACGAACAAATTAGAAATTACAATATACTTTAACGCACAAGAAATGAGAGATTTTTTCGCTTTTTCTCATTTGTCATTTTTTTTCTGCATCAGATTTTTTTCTTGACACCTGCATTTGAAAGAAATAGGTACAACATTTGCTGCCCCCTAAATTTGCCGCCATGGGCCGTGGCCCATGTGGCCACCCCCTAAATCCGGCCCTGCACAAGCGGATAAGAGGGTTCGAAAAAGTATTCTCACGACCGTCACAGCTAGATTCTGGAGATGAATACTCATACTTAAAAGCGTATAAGTAGCGCAAACGTAATTTGGTCGGCGTCGGTGATGCCTTGAAGTGGGAGGTAGTATTTATCTTTACCAGATTGAAGTTTTTGGTGAAGCGCGACAACACGTCGGCTATTGCTAAGTAATAATTCTGTTCACTTGGGAGCTTACGACCGTCATGCTCGTTCTTTTTTATTTTGAAAAGATTTAGGTATGTTGAAATCATGCATGGCATTCGTTAAAGGATGTTAGTCAAGCTAGATAGCTAAGCTCCGTTTTCCAAAGATGGTGGCAGGTGTTGCGTTTTTGTTTCGAAACTCACGACCGTCACCAATAGCTGAAATTTGAATTGGGAAAACTGAGTAAAAAAAAAAAAATAAATAAATTCCGAAAAAATTGGGACCATAAAATACGTATTTAGATCCCAGATATTGTCCAAAATTGAGAAAACACAACTTCCACAGGAAACGATGAACTTGATTTTTTTACTTGTTACTCCCTGAAATGTCCCCTATTTTAAAGAGCCATGCACAAAAAGGGCCAAAAACGGCCCATTTTTGGGCCCTCGAAATTGGGGTCGAAGTGAGGTTTTTTTTCATCCTTAGGGAGACCCTTTACACATACTAAAATTTCAGATTGAGTATACGCACCGTTTTCGAGTTATGGGGGGACAAAGTCCCCGATTTTCACCCATTTTTGCAGGTGTTTTAATGTCGAACTCCGGCTGTTACGAGGTACCAGATCTAGATATTGAAGCGCNCTATCTGAGGAAGAAATGGAGGAGTTTAGTTCTCTGCTGGACTGGAAAATAGCTTGTCGTTACCAGAAAATGAGTGAAAGATTTATTAGAAAATTCAAACATCGAGTGGATTGGGAGAACATTGTGAAATATCAAAACGTATCGAATGACTTCCTTCTTGAAAATTGTCCCATAACCACTCGCATCGATTAGATTTCCGACGTTTGCTTCTAAACAACTGTCATCTGTCAATAGACTTTATTCGTTCTCATGGTGTGGCATTAAATAAATGTTGGGATTTAATTTCATCAAAAATTCTTCTATCTGAGAAAGAAATGGAAGAATTCAGTTATCTTCTAGATTGGAGAATTGCATCACGTTATCAAAAAATGTCAGAAAGATTTATCAAAAAATTCAAACATAAAGTGGATTGAGAAAATATTGTCAAATATCAAGACGTGTCGAATGACTTTATTCTTGAAAATTGTCCCAAGGATTAGTTATATGATAGTTAGATAGATGTTTCTTTTGTGATGTAAAGTAATAAAATCATCTAGTGGAATAGGCCTACTGGGGATACCACTTTAAAAAAAAAACGCGCTGATAACCCTACCTCTATGGTGGTGTGGAAACGGGTTTCTCCATAGCAAAAGATTGCTCTAGAGTGTTGTCAGCATGGGGGGTCTCACTAGTTCACGATGTGTCCTGGAGTATTTTTTGCTGGGGTCTCTGGAGTATTTTTGCAGGGGTCTCACTTTTTCTAACTACTGAAGTGTTTGGATTGCGGGGGAGGGGGTAAAAAGGGGAAAAGAGGGGGAGGACATTAAAATTGGTAAAATAATGTAAAGAAGAAGGAAAATCCCCAACAGAAAATACCACCGTGACCGCGGCGTGGAGAGAAGAGAGCAAAGTAAAGTCAGTAAGATGCTCTAACGGTCATGATAGTATGAATAAAGCCCCCCTCCCCGCCCCCCGAAAAACCATTTGGGGCTTTGTGAAAGATGTGGAAAAATACTACAGGAATAGCTGAACAAATCGCCACAAACCGCGCTTCAATATCTAGATCTGGTACCTCGTAACAGCCGGAGTTCGACATTAAAACACCTGCAAAAATGGGTGAAAATCGGGGACTTTGTCCCCCCATAACTCGAAAACGGTGCGTATACTCAATCTGAAATTTTAGTATGTGTAAAGGGTCTCCCTAAGGATGAAAAAAAACCTCACTTCGACCCCAATTTCGAGGGCCCAAAAATGGGCCACTTTGTGCATGGCTCTTTTCGCCATAGAGTACATAGAGTCGTAATGTAAGTGGGTGAGCTGGCGCCACTTATAAGCATTTTCCAGGTCCCGAATTCCGAGATTCCTGTGTGACGCCGGGTCACTTTTTCGATACATAATCGATTGCTTGCGATACACGGGTACCCGGCCATCCGATGTAAACAAAGAAGATAGGGATCACCACGTATTCCGCACCGCCATTTTGGATCGAACATGTATCGAAAAAGTGACCCGAACTCGGCGCACATCGGGCTCGGAACTCGTCGAGTAGAACATGGCGCTAGCTCTCCCATTGACATTACGACTCTATGTAGCAGTAATTAAAGCTTAAGATTTTAAAATACATATCGACGGCATGAGTCCACGATCACAGATCTCGTTTGCAGTGTCTGAAAATCTCTGCCTCTACCCTAATAGCAGTGGATATTGAGAAAAGTTGTAAAAAACTTGTAAATTTTTGGAGAACTTGAAATTTACTTCAAAACCACTTGAAAATTACGTAAAAGAACTCTTGAAATATTCGTATCAGGAAACCCTTTCAGGGACTTTTTTTACTTATAATTGAAGAAAAATTTTAAGTAATTTTTCTTACATAAATGTGAAGCAAAATTTACGTAGTTTTTTTCTTTAATGAACTTCCTGCGTG